CCCCCCCCCCCCCCATCGATTCCCACGAATAATGGTCGCCGTGAGCGCAACTATGTTGCAGCCGGAACCGATGGAGGAACGAGTGAACTTTCGGAATTTTGAGGTTAGGTTGTTAGGGTCTGCGAGTTTTCGCGCAAACCGGGACGAGGGGATTCGAATACTTCACGAAGTGAGGAGATATCGGGATCGTTTCTGCGTGTTAATTGGATTGAGTGATTTCGCTTTTTTTATGAAAAGACTTATTAGAATAGGATAACGCGTAGCAAGCATGTCCTTTCTTAAGTGAGCTGCGGAGCTGGGCTCCTTTCCGATGAGCTTGCCCCAATGATTTTCTGCTTCCAGACACTTGTTCGCAGATTCTTCCCGTACTTGCGACTCAATTCACGAACCGAAGACCTCCTCTGATTAAGAGCATGATAATTAACTTAAATCATCCTTATTGAATAAGAGATGCGCTTGTGTATTTGAATAGGCGGATCATCATTTGTTAAACTTTTAACCACTTACATGCTTACTCTAATTAAGGCAAACCTCTTGGTCAGCCACGTGAAATATTTATGGTCAAGAGAGAAACCTGTACAACGGGGTTTCAAAGTTCCCACCCCCTCGTTCATCGGCCATCATTAGGCGCATTTTACACTTAATAAGTTGCTCATCCATCATAATCGAAAGTGGCAATAAGGGGCTTGGATGACAAAACGCATAAGTGAAGTTTTTGAAAAAAAATTGAGATATTAATGATTTCAAGCAAAACTAATCTTACTGCATACTCTGTGAAAAATTCGCTTCCAAATTCCAATTTTTAAGCATCAAAAAGTCGGTTTGAACTTTCCTTCCACCATAAGGATCCATGTAATTTCGAAACCTCAAACACTCATTTCTCGCAATAGCAAAAACTGCATTTACGCGTCTTGCTCTCTAAGCCCCTCCATTGACCGTTTGCCTCTAGTGTCTCTTCAGTATATTGTCTCTGATTTCATTGCCATCAGAGCTTAAGGTTTTTTCGCGAAATTGATGTTTCAAAAATTGGTTTTATGATGATAGAATTTTCACTGAGCTTCACCAAAGTTTGAAACTAAGCTCTGAATCCCACCTCAGTGTCTGATTTCGTGTCGTCCAAAAGCGGTCTAATTAAAATCGGCCAGGGCGCGACTGCCGGGGCCGATGTCCTAAGGGTAGACGGCGAGCGCTCTACATCTGGTGCAGCGAGCGTGAAGACGGAACAGAGAGTGAACGGACCGAAGAGACAAGGGGGAGGGCGAGAGTAATTGGTTCGCAGATCGCGGTGCGGTGCGTTGTTGGATTTCGCCAAAATGCGAAAAGCACTCGGCCCTGTCGCTTCTGTTGTTTTTGCACCGAACGCGACGACGGTGAGACGCAGCCCATCGCGGCGTCATCATATCGTGATTTTGAGTAGCTCATCTCGAATTTTACCCTGCGGACAGAGCTATGAAAAGTTATTTAGTAGCTAGCCCTTTTAGGGATTTTTGTAAATGTACAATTTACGTCTGGTAAAATTAAGTCAAAGGTTTTTTTAAAGAACAATTGTTTTTTAACAACTTTTAAAATAATTTTCAAAGAGTTCGAGTGTTAAAAACTTCAGTAGATCCTCGACACTTTTTTGAATTGTTGTAACTTTTTTCTTAAATTTTCCTTTCGAAATTTTTCTCAGGAATTTTACTCAAAAATACCTAAAAATCAGCTGCTAAAAGAAGAATTTGAATGTTGCGCCCCATCTAAGAAATGGCCCACTCCGCGAAATGGCCAGAACTTTGACCAGTTCATGAATTGGTCATGAGAGGTTTAAACCAAACGTGATTTTGGGTGAAAAATATATTCTTCTGTGTAAGAGGACGGATCAATTCATGAACTGACAAAAAAGGTTAACCCCAACCTGAAATGAGTTGAAGACCGCCTCGCCTCGCCGCGGGTGAAGCGGTGAGTGTCTGGACTGCCAAAACGCCTTCACTTCTGTGGGTATGCAACACGGACATCCATGGAGCCCGAATATTTGCATCCATTGTTTACAATGAAATTCGTTCATTACTCGACTCTAACTGGAGCTTAAATTTTTTCTCTTACACCCTCAGCTAATTCCAGCGATTCCATGAAGTAAATCATCACTGATTTATCTCGAGACATAGTCAACTTTCCAAGAAATGAATTCTTTAAATGTATCACAACGTTGCCGACTCTTCAAATCGAAACAAATTAGGTATCTGAGCATAATATGTGGAGTTTCTTTTCACCTTTTTTAATAAGTCGTCCTTTGTTGGAATTTTTTCTTTCCTATAATCTTTCGATCTCTTAGTTAAACAGTTCGTGGATTGGTTGGTTTTTATTCAATCCTTTTCACAGAATGGTCGCAATCTTCAACTCATCACAAGTTTGAGTCCAACCTCTTCACTAATTCATGAACTGGTCACAATTCTGACCATTCCGCGGCACGGAAAACGTCATTTCATAGATGCGGGGGCGCGGGGCGATACAATCAATATACTGTCTCTTTAAAATTGACTAGTTTTTTACAAGTTGCGTAACAGTCGTTGCTACGAGAGTCCCGTGTATTTCATTTGCGTCTCATTTCCACGGCTTTCCATGAAATTCTGAAAAATCGTCAGATGTTAAGCTATACCAAGTTTCCCGCTAAAAAATAGGCCCGCGCCGTTTCAAGCCCTTCCGAGAATCTCTCAACTTGGAAATCCCTCATTCTGCGACCCCTATAAACGTTTCTTTTTTGTTCTTGGGCAGCTCTCGAGCCGCTGCTAATTGAAAACAGGTTTCCTCCGAGTGCTATCGATTCTGTATCTTAATTTATGCCCCGCTTTCCTTTCAACCGTGGTTCAACCTGAACGCGGTTGCCGAATGTCTAGAAATTGCAGGATTCTCGTTTGCATCGATTGAAATCGGCTGGGTTTGACCGTTCCACCTTCCAACCTTCTGGCTTGGACGAAGCCGATAATTATTTACGAGTCGAGAATGGACGTCAACACGACGTAATCGAAGTTGCCGCTTCAGGGACCGTCGCCAATCGCGGAGGCAAATGAGATAACCGGGCATCATAAAGCAGAAAATATCCTCGTCCAAGAGGAGCTTTGAATAACAGCGTAAGGGCCGTTAATATTCTCTTAGTAGATAAGTGGTTCTTACTGATTATCTTCATATCGTCGCCCCTCTGACGTAAGGGCGTATCTCTATTTCCTCGTGAGCCCTATTCTCCATATAACTCAATGCTATTCAGGGCTCACCTAGCAATAGAGATACGTCCTTACGTTAGAAAGGCGACAATAACAGGTCTTCGGATTATTTTCCACCACGATTTTTCTAGGAATTGTGTTAAAACAACTTTTATTGTTTCACTGACTAATTATTGTCAGCTTGATTTGTCTGAATGGAAATGCACTTATTTCAGCACCTTAAGACGTGTTATGAAATCAGTTCCACAAGCTATGTTTTTCATAATGTGTTCCTTTCGTAGGTTCAATATGTAATTTTGAAAGTTATGATAAAACCGCACTCCCTCCAAAGGAAATCTATTGATGACATCTTTTGATTTGACATTGAAGTTAGTAAAACTTGTCTGCAGCATTATCATTCTATAAATATCTTCAGTAAAACAAAGACATACAAAGGCAGCCCAAAACGGAATTAATAGGATAAAATAAAAAAAGTTTGGTTTAGTTTTTTGGTTTCATTCTATGCCCCTCTATATATATACATTGCTCAAATAATATTTTCTGGGGCCATTGCGTGATGATGTAATGTTGTTAAGTTTAAGTTTGACGTTGCCATGGGAAATGGGGACAGGTGGAAAAATTTTCATTTTTTGACTTTGAATTTTGAGAGTAGACATTTTGAAGTAACCACAATTATCGACAATACTGAGCAGGTAGCATTCTTTTCGCGTAGAAATGAATTTTCCAATTCGCTTATTAAAATTCGGCAGAACGGATGGCAACTTGGCGGGTGAAAAATATTTCTGCGATTCCGCTTTACCGCAAGTGGTTTCCCCTCACCGACAGGGTGGCGCGGTGGCGCCTCA